CCTTCCCTAAACAACCTGAAGGCCAGTTAATCAATAGTAATCTTAGCTATTATATGACCTAATTTGACTATTGTACTTACGACCTTTCATAGTCAAATATAATTGCCTCTTATCTGCATTCAAAAATCTTTGTATTATTATTATTGATATTAATATTACTAGTGAGGTTCGACGCATGGTATTAGGAAATGATGGTAAATCAGTCGATGAGGTTGCAAATCTTCATCTACCGAAATGGCTGAGCCATGTGTTACGTATACCTGAACACCTATTACCACGACGCGCAATGCTGACTGGTGTAGGGGATGGTTGGAAGAAAGTTAGGAGCAGCCAAACCAAAACGTGGCATCACTCCTTGAAGTCACTTCTAGTCTGAGCCATGTTGGTAGATGCAGACTACCTGGTTGGGTCCGCGTGACTATCGTAACCAATGGTTGGAGACTGTGTATGACATGGCTCAGAATCGATCACAATGTAGTAGGTGTATACACTCTTTATCTTCACTTAAACTATGAGAGTAAAATCGCTTCATATCTGTCTTCTTTACTGTACTATATCCTTATATACAACCTATAATTTGTATACTACCACCAGTAAATTAACTGTTTCTATGAGTCCGGTGTTCATCTTGTTGTGCTAACGAAGTATGGCAACTTGGACCGACGTATATATGTGCCTGGTCCTACGTTGTAGCTGACTGACTGAATGAATATTACTAGTATTGGTTAAACATCACTATTAAGTTCACCGAAGTGATCTCACTCCAACGAATTTATTATTAAGCGGTACAATAGTATATTCATTTGAATGTTTAAGCAATAATACTATGAGGATATATGAACAATGTCTATTCATTCGTATTTTCGGTCATTGTGCCGACTACTAGTCAAATGTTTATTTATCTACATTAACTAAAGTACTTATGAGTAGTATAAACATGATATCAAAATGATCAAATATCCTTGTTTTGCATCTTGTTTTGCATCATAATAAAGTTACTCGAGCAGAAGATTTATAGGTACTCATGTAGTGCACAAGAACACGAGTGGGAGATAATCGAATGTAGTTAAGCACAAAATTACAGACTATCTCACTAAAGTCTGATAACCATACAGCATACAGTAAATATGCAAATTATCAATCAATTATCTCAATCTTCACTGTTCCTTCTACAAATATCAACGTCTCATGATCATGCAGTTTCATACCGATTGCGTTTCGTTCCTGTTCTTTCCTTATCGATCTTTTGCCAAAATACATTCTATGCCTGATCATCACCATATACTACTTATATGGATATAAGTAACCCACACCACACTCGTAATTCAGTTATATGCCTTCTGAATGCTGTTATGTAGATTTTCCTTATTGCCAATACTTACACTGCTGAATTTGGATGAAGTTATGTAATAGGTTCAATTACTCAGGTTTGGTTTCATAATATCAGATAAATTAAAGGTTGTATAGATTGTTAATAATAAAAATAGTATAGTTGTAATGCCCCTATGTGTGGGAATGTTAAATTTCATAAGGTTCATCTCAAGAAAACTCTTTAGACAACAAATGATTATTTGATATTTACTTTGATGGTTTTTTCTGTAATCAATCAATCATTTTAAGTTTCAATCAACATTTTTTCATGTTAGTTATTCAACCAGTAACTACGAGATTTTTGCATAGCAACAATAAAATCAAAAGACTTTTCATGGCTTTTATTACTAACCGAAGGTCCTGGGTTCGAATCCCACGACTGGGATCATGGATGTGCACTACTGAGTAGCCTCATACTAGAACGAAACAGTCATCTAGTGCTTCCAAATTTTCAATGGTGGTTTAAAATCAATCGATTCATGATCTCGATTAAAAAAAACATAAAATCTTTTGTTATTCAATTTAACAATAACTCAAATCGAAATCAGAGATTTCACTTAGTCCACGTAGTTTTTACATGATAAATATCAACCTAACAACAAATGTCCAAATACTTGTATTAATTTAAGAAATAAGCAATTTTCAATTCAAATAGTCATTTGTAGTTTATATCTTATGGTCCGGTGCCCTATCAATATGTGAAGTAATAATACCGCCAATTAGAAAACAATGATTTATAAACCAGATCAATGACGCGTAAACCTGTACCAGTATTCTACAATCCTTATCAGGTCCTTACTCCAGCCAGTTAAGTCCAGAACATCAATCTCAGTCTCCATGATATGAATCATGTATTTCAAACATACTGGGTTTATCAACCAATCAAACAGACCACATCGTACCATAAAATAGGAAATAACATTTGTACAAGACTTAGCCAAATATGGCTGTGAATGTGGGGAACAGTAATTAATAGATTGGGCATAACTCAAGAATGGTAAATCATTTAATGGTAGTCTATGGGTCAAAATAAAGCTTAGGATAAGACGAACATGAATATGAATTATTTAGTTATTTAACAACTATACAATAAGAAATATACACATAGTACTAGTCCATAAATAGATCCCAATAGTTACCATTCATAACTCTCGTAGGGATATAACAGTTTTTGTTCGATATTTCAAAGAAATTAGTTTTCTTTAATCAGAAGGGGTTTTGTGTAGATTTCAATATTTTCATAGTTGAAATCATGAGTTAATTGAAGCTAGACCACCATCGAAAACCTGGAAGCACTCAAACTTTGTGGATTGGTTGGAGTTAGACATTAACACCGTTGGATGCCGGCTCAGTGATCTAGAGGTTTGGCGTTCGTGCACGAAACTGAAGGCCCCAGGTCCGGCAGTCCAATACTTCCAGGTTTTCGATAGTGGTCTGGCTTCAATTGACTCATGATATAAACTATGATAATTTTCTTTAATAAACTAATAAAAAATCGAAGTTTCATCCTTCCGAAATGATCCAAATGAAGGTATAATAGAACAATATCATATATATACTTAATAGTAACTAATAATGATATTTTAGTGGTAAAAATTCTAATATTTATTTTCAGGAAAAATTGAATAGTCTGCAACGTTTAGTGACCATTTCTATTCTGAATTCAATCAATCACAACGTAGAACTTCGTACGTACGTACGTACATCAGTTCGAGCTGCCATACCACATTAGTACAGATATGCAGTTGTCGATTCAAATCCCATAGTGTTAGAAGCAGTAAGAGTATAAGCAGTAATCTGAAAGATTAGGGTTTGAAGATGTTATTGAAGGAGTATAATCCAATGAAATAAATTTGGAAAGAGAAAAAAGAAAGGGATATGAAGAATTCAGAAGATTAGAATTTACTAGAACACAAAGAGTGAATGCACCTTTGCCACTGCAAACGATTTTGAGCCATATCATTTAAGGTCTCTAACCATCGATTGCTATCATCTCACGGATCCCAACCAGGTAGTCTACACCTACCAACATGACTCAGTCCACTTGTCAGCGACTTCATGGATTTATGCCATGTTTTGGTCTGGCCGCTCCTAGCATTCTTCCAACCTACTCCTACATTATAAAACATTGCACGTTGGGGCAGTCGTGGTTGAGCATGCGTAACGCGTGTCTCAACCATCTCAACTGATTAAGTTTTATTCTGAACTGATATTAATTGAAGTATTATGGAATGAAATATCACATAGGATGGTTGTTTCATTCTAGTTCATTACTCTTCAGGAGTATACATTCAAGATTTCAGAATTATGATTCGATAAGATATCTTCAAACCCCAAGATAAACACAATATCATTCAATTACTGTAACATAACATACGCGTTCATATTTCCAATCTAGCATGATTATAAGCAAAGATGAATAGTAGCTAACAGTGGGATCCAGGACACGCCGGAAGATATATGTAAACCACACCAAGTGAATCCACTATGATTATGTTTAACTACTATTGACAGATTCAAAAATACTAAGATTGCTCACTTCACTATGTAGATAAATCTCTTTGCAATGAGTTAGCATTTATTAGTTGAAATATTGACTCTGATAAGGATATGTAGTTGATATTAGTCACATGAATAATCCATCCATTTACTGTGATTGAGTTTCATTTGCACATGACTTATCGTATGATATCACTTGATTTGTTTATTTTTCTCGTTATATCATATCTTCGAACAGTTGGCTACACAAAACAGCCCTCATTTAACATCACCCATAGATTACTTTCAATTTCATTTACTGCATATACTAAAGCTTTCAATTTGTTTGGTTAATCATATATCAAGACTTGTTTGCTTTCAATTTACTCAATGAACTTGAATTAGTACTTAAAGTTACAAAGCATATAAGCAAACATGGATAGTAGCTAGCAGTGGAATCGAGTTTGACATGCGTTTCATCCTATTTGGTACTCGTCAACTGGATGTACCTGCATCCCACAGTTGATGTCTACTCTGGAACTCGAACCCATTACCATTCACTTCAAACACAATCACGTTGCCTACTTAACTACTGAGTCTTGATAGCCATTTGATTGTGTAATAGGATTAAGTTTAAATTCACTTGGTATTGTTTACTTGAATCTTCCCATTGATATTTAGTACTACAATTGATCAGTCTCTTATTGGCGTGTGTGCATACTGTGCGTACTGCCTCGATATAGCGTTGATTCACGAGCATTATAAGCAAAGATGGATAGCGGTTAGCAGTAGAATCCAGTTTGAAACGCGTTCCGTCCTATTTGTCATCCATCAGCTGGATGCACCTGCATCTCGGAGTTGATGTTCACCCTGGAACTCGAACCCAGTACCATTCACTTCAAACACAATTACGTTATCCACTTAACTACTAATTCCTGATAGCGACTTACTTATACAATGGAGTGAGGTTTAAATTCACTGCTAGCTACCATTCAACTTTCTCTTCACAACAATATCATTAGAACACAGAATCGACCGATTCATAATATTAATTATCAATTTTCAATTTTTGTTTTTCTAACAAAAAAATAATCATCTCAAATTTTTCCAAAATTTTTCTTTCTTCTGTTTTTTTTTCTTTTTCTTTTCAGTATCTTGTACTTGCTCAAGAAGATTATGTAAGTTTAAGACATGTGTATATTTTTGTAATTTTTTTTATTTTGGCAAACAAAAGGGTATCTGTTCTCCCCCCCCTCTCTCTCTCTCTCTCTCTCTATATATATATATATATATATATATATATATATATATATATATATATATATATATACTAGACTATAGCTGTCATTATAGCCCTTGGTTATACCCATGTATGTGTGTGTGTGTGTGTGTAGTTTTGTATTTATATTCATTCAAATATTATTCATATATTTGTTGTTGTTGTTGTTGTTAATATTGTTTTTCCATATTTTGTTCTGTATGTTGTCATAGTAACTAGGATAGTTTTGAAATAGGTTTAGCGAATAATTGATTTCTAATATATATCTATATATAATATTATTGAACTTTGTAATGATGTTATATATATATCTTGGATTTCGTGTCTGTCTTATAGTTAAACAATTTGGCATCAAACTGTAAATTGGGGGGGGGGGAAGGAGAGGTAAGGAGGGAGGGAGGGAGGGAGAGAATTTACAACCATCAATAGTGTCTAGTTCTTTTGTCGGTGGGTAATTTTATGGTTTATTTAAGAATTAACTTTCGTCACATCTATCAGATGAACACATCTATTAGATAAACTTATGATAATATCTGATAAACTAGAGCCTGAAAATCTTAGATTTAATGTCAAGTATGGTCATAGCTTAACATTACTGATGATTTATGAACTAGAGCGAAACAATTGTTCACCACCTACTCTAAGGTCATCGTCTCTTGGTGTTTCGTTATGGGACGGACAAAGCAGACAGATCGCAAGTCGACGGGAGGTAAGGCACCTCGTAAGCAGCTGGCCACCAAGGCTGCGCGTAAAATCACAGAGGCTACCAGGGGCGTGGAGAAGCCACACAGATACAGACCCGGGACCGTTGCCCTCCGAGAGATCCGTTGTTACCAGAAGAGTATCGAACTTCTGATTCGTAAACTTCCATTCCAGCGTTTGGTCTGAGAAATAGCCCAAGACTTCAAGACCGATTTACAATTGCAGAGCTTTGCCGTGTCTGCTCTTCAGGAAGCTAGCGAAGCCTACTAGGTTGGACTGTTTGAAGACATCAACTTATGCACTATCCATGTTAAACGTGTCACTATATAATGCCAAAAGGTTTTAGTATTTCCCCATTTGATAATTTTTATCATACAAAAAGATGTTGTCTTTAGTCATGCCGTTGATATCGTGTTAAGTGTTGTAAGCGTGTACTGTTTGTTTGTTGTTTTATTTCCTGGTTACTCTTGTTATATTCAATATCGTAAATAATTGAGACATTAAGATCTTTAGAGATTTCTAGAATTCTACAACCTGTGATACCTGAATTATAAACAAAATAAGAAAGATATAACCATGAAAGAAACTTTCTTTCAAAATTTGAATTATTCACATAAAGTATACTAATAATATAAATGATTTAGGTAATTGATCAATCAACTTCAAGAAAAGAGGTTAAGTGCTCATGCGAGAGACTGGAAGATCTTGGATTTAAATCTCGCAAAGCGGGATCATGGATGAACACTGATGAGGAGTCCCATAATAAGACGAAACAATCATCCAGTGCTTCCGGGTTTGCCATGGTAGTCTAGCTTCAATTCACTCATGATTTCAACTATAAAATGTAAAGAAACGGGTTGGATACTAGAATTTTCTTTTATAATTTTTCAGTTACATCAATTGATTAAGAATAATTTAGACATTTTGTCTTAAAGATACTTTCTAATAGTATAATTATATTTTACTACTAAAAGTGATTCACACTATTACCAACATTAAAATTAATCACAGCAACAATACACTGAAGTAATATCCATTCTAGGTGATGGGTAACATTAGTTGATGGGTAGGGGGTGGGTAGAGTTAAATGAACAGATGATAATTTGACAGCATATAGCCATTAATACACAGAATTTTATCAATCTGGCTTACATATCAGTTGTTTTTTTTGTTGATGTCAGTAACATGTTGACTCATTCAGTTCCTGTATATTTGTGATGATGAATAATGATAATAGACCCCTTTATCATGATTCATCTATTAGAACAATAAGAATAGAGATTGCTTATCTTCTTTTTCAGATTAAGAAACGTAAGGTATCACAGAAAAATATCATAATGTATTCTATGATGAATTTCCTTCTTATATCCAAATCTAGTTTCATGTTCGTTTCTTCATTGAAAGTTCAATCATGTTGAGTTAAGATAAGAAGTGTCTATTTTGTCATTTATATTAATTGAATGTAAAAAACTATGACTGCAATGAATGAGGACACATACGGAGACAATTGAATGTAGGAGAACACTAAATTACGGAAAGTCAATCAATTCTCTTAGACTTGACTATTTCTTCGTTTTTACATCAGTCACTCTCTATTCTCCATATCCTCCATATGTTACTTCTGATTATGTCTACCAATTTAAATATAGGCGCTAAACCACATGCATTGACAGAACAGAAAATATGATTAGTGTCCGCATGTCTTAGCATATCCCACAAAGTTGTGAATGCTCAATATTGAGGAGTCATGTGCTAAGACAAAACGATCATCCAGTACCTCCGAGTTAGTTGTCAATCGTCATGTAACTTGAATCGCTTCATGATTTCAACGACATGAACATCTCTAATAGTTCTTTCATACTTATTACTCTTTTCATTAACCTTTATTCTTGACAGCTTTATCGGTGTAAAGTATGTACAACGAATATCATGGAATGATAGTATTATGATGAGAAATAGTGAAATAAAGTGAATTCATAATCTTCTACAACGTTTATTATTTCTATTTTAGTCATATTTATATAGTATGCCACGTTGTATATCGAGATTTATTTATTGAATTTTGCCTGATGTGTACGAATAATTGAATCAAATAATCGTCATTTTCAGAAGGGGGTTTTGTGTAGATTATAGTAATTTAATAGTTGAATTCATGAGTCAATTCAAACCAGACCATCATGGAGAACTTGGAAGTACTGGACAGCTGTTTCGTCCTAGTAGGGGATTCCTCAGTAGTGAGCGACCACGACACAGCTCTCAGGATTCGAGCCAAGGACCTCCTTTCTCTCACGCGAACGCTTAATCTTCGAATCATAGATTCGCCAGCCAACGATGTCAACGTCTAACTTTAATCAATTCACGAAATTGAGCAACCATCCATCATTGTCTCGAGTGAGTTTCTATCTCACAACAACAGACCTGGTTGAACTCCATTGATCATGGTTTCTTACTGCAATTTCAGGAAATACCTCTTGAAACTAGTAACTAGTGAGCATATGATAATTATTATCAGAAGGGGGTTTTGTATCAATTTTACTAACTGATCATAAGTCTCATACTAGTAGGAAACAACCATCGATTACTTCCAGGTTTTCCATGATATTCTAGCTTTAATCTTTATTTCCGTATTGTCAGTTTTAATGTAATGTATAATATTTTGTTCCTACTTAAAATTATCAAATATGTTTATAAATCTTTACTCACTTACTCCTGTTAACGCATGTGCAAGAGCATAGGGCGCCCGCCAGCATTCTCCATCCAATACTGTCCTGGGTATTCCTTTCCAGTTGCTATCCAGTTGTTATAAATCTCTACTGATGTATTTTTCATTCAAATAACTAGAATATATCCAATCAAATTTTTATGTTGATTTAATGAAATTTTTTTTTGATCCCTAAAACTTCTTTTTTTTTTCAGACTAAACCAGATGATGAATCAGATGAAGGTAAGTTCAATTTGTTCCTTTACATCATTTATTGTGTGGGTTTCTGTGATTCATTTATACAAATATTCATTGATACTTGAATGAATAGTCTGACAGAAATTGGGGCTCCAAGTATAAATAAGACAATAATTATGAAAATTACATTTGAAGTCATTTACAATGGTCGATAGGATTTGATCTGAACTATGAAGGACCTAAGACACACATGACATTGATCATCATCCATGGATTCAGTCTGTTGGTCTTCCTTCTCTGTAGTGAAAAACTTGGAAGCTCTGGCGCGAGACTGTTAGGTCCTGGGTTCGAATCTCGCGAGTGAGGGATCGTGGATGCGCACTGCTGACGAGTCCCATAATAGGACGAAAAGGTCGTCCAATGCTTCCAGGATTTCCATGGTGGTCTAGCTTCGAATGAATCATGAACTCAACTCTATAAAATTGTTATGTGTGTTGAATGAGCTGGCGTAAATCAAATGGCTAAGGTAGACTCCATGAATAGTTTCTGAGTGGCGCACGAAGGAATGGACTATCGATTTATCAGGCTGACGATAATGTTAGAGCTTATTGATACTTTCTAGAGTAAGTGACCACCGAGTGATAATCGTTATTATTTTTGTCTAGTCCCCAGTGTTGATTGAATTCTGTTAATCAAATTCCTTTATAACCACCAGACTTAGAGACTCAGTATAGTGAGGTGGTTGGAGGTAATCAATAGGATGCTTCATATAGAAATTAGTTAGTCACTGTTAGTAATGAATATCTGCAATAATTATGCAATTGATGTTTCCTGTGGGACTCGAACAGGTGTCTTTGCCAGAGAAATCACCACTAAGCTTCATTAAGTTAATGAGACCCAAATAGTAGAGTAGTAAAATCCTTAACTGAGATATTCGAGAATTCTGATCTGAATCCCATAAGCATTATCTTTCTCACCAAGATTACAAATGCCTTTAGCTGACGAATGACAACTTACATGCAAACTGAGTGCATGGAACCCTGCTGGTTTTCAAATAGATAATTTGCTCAGTTTTAGGAATTAGTGATTTACCACAATATATAGATTACAATACGTATTTCGGGAGAGTCAAATACAACTCATAACTTTTATAACGTGCCATTCCACTGAATTATCTTAGTCTCAGTCCGTATTTCACATCACTGACTTATTTTATTTAGGCTCACTGATGGTTAGGGAGCATTCAACAGATGTTCTATGCCAATTTGGGACTCCTTTGTGTTTTAAGACAAACATAAACCTTCAACCGAGGGTTTACATTTCCAACTTTAGTCGGTATGACCATTACCCACTGAAATGGGTGAAACATATCTCATTCCCCCAAGTTTTAGACTTCTACTGGTCTCAACTACCTTTTATGCTGATTAGTATCAAACAGTAAAACAGCGGATACTGTTAATTCGTACTTTTCCTTCATTTGGCTATGATCTGACTCATCATTATTGTGTTAAGGCAGATAAATTAATCAAATAAAATCTTCGATAATACAATGAGAAGATGAATGTTATTAGAATTATGTAATATATTTGCATAATCTCACGAGGCGGAATCGTGGATGCGCACTGTTGAAGAGTCCCATAATAGGACGAAACGGCCTTAAAGCAGTGGTTCCAGGTTTTCCATGGTTGTCTAACTTCAATTGACTCATGATTTCAACTATGATAATATATTTTGAACAATCTGATAATACAGATAATTGTTAAGACATTTTTATATAAATCGTTTAAAAAGTAGCAATACAATGAGACCTATGACGTCTCGGTCACCCTAGAAACCAGTTTATATTACCTTACCACCGAGAAGTGACTCAAATAGTCCTATTTTGAAACGAAGACTTAAATTAACTATCAATAGGACATTTTATGCAGCTCGACTTGTCATTATTGGAAAAACAAGGCCTATGTTACAGCAAAAACCCAAACAACATGTAAACGATTGTGTCACATCCCATTGCGTCTATCAATTCACATATATGTGTGGAAACACGTACATAGAGAGGAGAAATCGTGATCTCCAATAAAGGGTGACGGAACAGATACCTGAATGGCTGCAGAAACAAATGAATTTCAATGGTCAAATAAGATCATAGGATAGAAGAATATCCTCCTTTATTGCGAAACATTTGATTGAAACTGTTCATTTGTAGTGTTGTACAAAAGCCTTTAAGGACTTATACTAAGATTTATTTAAACCTTGGGCTATACGGAACTTGAAAACTCCTTTATGTGTTCAAAAACAATTTGTTCTTACCCTTAATCTACTCTAGTAATACTGATTTATTATCCAGAGTGGTTATCACATTGTTTTTGTGTACTTTATTTATTTTCCTTTTTTGTTACGGCTTACCTTTATCCAGTAAAGTTGACCTTTAAGTTTCATATAACTACGTCTTAAGAAGTATCTATGTGTGATCAGATTGAATAATTTTTTTTTGGTTAGCTTTTTTTTTACCGAGTTCGTTTTCTACGGGATAGGGTCACTAACTCGAGGCCCAACACTCCTCCTTTATTCGGGCTTGGGACCGGCAGTAACCCCCGGAGGAGTCATGATCAGATTATATAAAATGTATTATGCAAATAGATTACATAATTCTGATAAGCTTCATCTTCTCATTAGATTATTGAGATTTACCACAGAAACCAATTGTTTCGAACAAAATCTCAGTGTGATCTTTCAAAATTGTCCATTTGCCAGTAATAAATTTTGGTTAATGAAGTATATTAATAGATATGTGTAAGGACGGCTCGTTGGTAAACTCTAGGAAGCTTTAAGAAGCCCAGAAAGAGCCGAGGACATTCCATTCAATCATCATTAGGGGAATATTCTAGAATGTCGACGTGTAGCTTCCCCATTGGATGGATAAGAATGACCCCTATGTGCCTTTTGTTTGTCTGAAATGATGATTTACTCTCAGTCAAAAACTATAAATACATGAGGTTTTTGTACTAGATTTTGACACTGTTTTGGGGAATAAACTTCCTACTTACTAGTCTTCTGTTTTCTCTCTTGCGGCGTTGGGGGTTCGATCATTCGAGTAGTCTAATAGTACGCGGCATAGTAAGAATCAAAGCTCTTGATAAAACAATATGACTTAAAATCATCATTATCAACATCACCTAAGAAGACGATTTAAACAATTCATGAATTATTCAATTGATCCGCTAAAATTTTGAAGGTCAAAACTAAGGAACAATAGGATATAATATCGATTTTTTTGTTTTTTGTTTTTTTTTCTGTTTCATTTGTATAAATCAATCAATCAATCGATTGATTGGTTGATTGATTAATTATTTATAGATCCTTGTGAAAATGTAAAATGTAAATTGGGTGAAATGTGCAAAGAGGGAAAATGTAACTGTTTGGATAGTTGTCCATCAGAATGGAATAGTTATAATAGACAAGTAAGTTTATTAGATTTTCTATAGTCTATATTAGTTACTCGGTTGACTTTAGTGGTACTAATCAAGTTTTCAACTTGTTTTATTGATTAAGAACATTTTTTTGGTTTTACTGTATTCTCTGGGCTGGGAAGTTTAATTCTGAAGCTTTCATTATTACTCTGAACAAAATCATCAGCGTCTACGTAGAAGTAAGATTAATGTACGTGAAGTAAGAGTTGATAATTTTGTATGGAATGATAATGAAAGCTTCAAAATTGGTACAAAAAGGGGCACCAGATACATATACGTCGCACAAATCTCATTTGATTTGTATTAGGGCTGTGATACTGCCCAGGTGCCCAAACTGAAACAAGTGGTTTTCTTAGGGGACCAAATCCGGAACCTTTGACCTAAACGTCTGATCCACAAGGCAGTGGAGAATAGTGAGGAGATGCAGTCCCATGGTAGCCGGTGACCAACGATTGGTTCATACTCTATTTGTTTCTTCAAAAGACTGGAGCCTATATGCACCATTGGTTTGGAATCAGGGTTTTCCAACTCGCCCTAGTGGACTCTCCGTGTCCACCAACCCAGTTAAAGCGCCAGATATTCGCTTTTCGTCCTCTCAATTTCGTAAACAACAGTAATTGCACGAGAAGGTAGTGAGTAGGACTTCCCTGGCAGAAGCTATATACGCGTGACCATGTGAAAACATTTGGAGATGGAGAGCGGACTCTCCCCACTCTCAGCCGTACCAAGGCATTTGGGCGCTCGAAATTAAGCTACCAACTCAAAGAACACAACATAGCTGAAAGTATCCCATTCATCATTTCAAAACTTTATGAGTGTACTGCACAAAAGAATGTCTTGATAATAATTATATTTTCGTTATGTAATCTGACATAGTTAGTTATAATGATCTATCATGAAATTATAACTTTATTTTTCATCCCAATCAGTTGAACTAAATATCCGCCATTTTTTGTATTGATCAACATGGATTATACAGTTGTACCCATTACACTAAAGAAACCCTTGTTACCAAGATGGAATTATAATTGATTCACTTTAAGATATCACTCATATCATATATGTAACCATCGTGAGAATATATCGATTGCCTGTTGGTAACTAATATTCTGTTCTTATTTGTAATACAAATTCTAAGAAGATTGATCAATAAGTAAATGAACTGTACTCTACAGCTATTTTGGAATTACAGATAATATTCTCTTATTGATATATTCTATAATCCACTCGTCAATCGAATGTAACTGCATCTCACAGTGTTAATATTCAATCTGGGACTTGGACATAGTACCATTCGCTTCAAACGCCATTAAGTTATCCACTTAGATACTAAGTCCTAATAGTTACTTGCTTGTGCAATGGGGTGAAGTTTAAATTCACTTGGTGTTGTTTACTTGAATCTTCCCATTGATGTTTAGCAATGAAGTTGATCAGTCTATCTCTTATTGGCATATGTAAATACTATGAGTACAACCTCGATATTATCTTAATTCACAAGCATTCTAAGCAAAGATGGATAGTAGTTCTCAGTGTAATCTAGGACACGGATTTCATTCTATTTGAGACTCGTCAGCCGGACGTACCCGCATCTCAGATTTGATGTTCACTCTGGGACTCGAACCCATTACCGTTCGCTTCAAACGCCATCGGGTTATTCATTCAGCTTCGTTAATATATACTTCTTACTCAAAAAATGTCTCTTTCACTCCTATTTTATAATTTCTAGTTATGTGTAGATGGTGTCACATACAGACATGAATGTGATCTATGGAGAAATCAATGTTATTGTAGATCTGGTGATTCAAGATGTGGTAATGATCAATTTAGTAATCATAGAGCAAATGAAAACTCGGCAATAAAATATTATGATGAATGTCGTGGTATGTTGCTTTGTTAATATTTAGATCTTTCAATTTATGAAGGTTTATTAACTTGGTAACAGACTCAGTATGATTATTCTCATAGACATACTTTACTTACTTTACTTACGCCTGTTACCCCACGTGGAGGAGTATAGGCCGCTCACCAGCATTCTCCATTCAACTCTGTCCAGGGCAATCCTTCCCAGTTCTTTCTAGGTGTTGTTCATCCTTTTCATATCTGCTTCTATTTCCCGGCGTAATGTGTTCTTTGGCCTTCCTCTTTTCCACTTCCCTTCCGGATTCCATGTTAGGGATTGCCTCGTGATGCAGTTTGGTGATTTCCTTAATGCATGTCCGATCCACTTCCAACGTCTTTTCCTAATTTCCTCATCAGCTGGAAGTTGATTTGTCCTCTTCAGCTCTCATAGACGTAGTTCAGTAGTAATTATGGTAACATGGGATAAGCTGTTTTGAACAATCACCTATGATTGGATGGGAAATTATAAACACACGCTAGTTGCATATAACATCATTTTTACATCTTTAGTTAATCTATTCCGTAGGACTTAATCCCTCATATATATAGCCCTCCTATTCCATACACACGAACAAATACAGATGAAAACAACCAATGTAGCAATAGCATGTGTTTTAATAGGCCTAAACATACACAAAGAAAAAAACAAGATTTTCAAATACAACACAGAGAATGTCAAGTCAATCACACTTGTTGGCGAAACTCTAGAAGATGTGGAAACATTCACGTAGCTGGGAAGCATCATTGATGAACAAAAAGGATCGGATGTAGATGTAAAGGCGAGGATTGGCAAAGCAAGGACCTCATTTCTACAGTTGAAGAGCATATGAAACTCAAAAAAAAACTATCAACCAATATCAAGGTGAGAATCTTCAATACGAACATCAATACAGTCCTACTGTATGGAGTTGAAACCTCGAGAACTAACATAACCATCATTAAAAATGTACAAGTATTTATTTATAGTTGTCTGACAAGATACTGAATGCGCGTTGACCGGGCACCATCAGCAGCAACCTACTGTAGAAGAGAACAAACCAGCTTCCATCTGAAGAGGAAATTAGGAAAAGATGTTGGAATTGGATTGAACACACATTGAGGAAATCACCAAATTGCATCACGAGGCAATCCCTAACTTGGAATCTTGAAGGGAAGCGGAAAAGTGCAAGGCCAAAGAATATATTACGTCGGGAAATATAAGCAGATATGAAAAGGAGGAATGTTAACTGGAAAGAACTAGAAATGACTATCCAGGACAGAGTTGGATGGAGAATGCTGGTTAGCAGTCTATGCTCCTCCACGAGGTGTAACAGGAGTAAGTAAGTATATATAAAGGGAATTTCATCTGATGTATTATTCATTAGATGTTTATAGTCTATTTAAAGAAAAAAAAACCTTGAAGACATATTGAATATTTGTAAGAATACTTTATTCCTGAAGTTATGATTCAGTAGAGATAAAGATTATAAGCATAATACATGACTGAGCTAAACGTTAACATTCTGTGGTAATAAAAACATTGGACATGTTCAATCTCTTGTGATTGCTGATATATTGAATCTTGAAAAACAATCAACTATGAATGTAGTTTCTACAAGAGATCAAAAGAAGAGACAGTTGAAAAGCTTGATTTCTAGAAATTTTCCCAGGTTTCGAACAATAAATCAGAGATTAGAAAGCTATGTTTCTATAAATAGTATCATTTTAGAAATTTGTCCTGAGATTGTTAACTGTAAAACTAATAACCCTTAGTATTACTTAAACTCATAATCAATGAAACGATTTTCTTTTGACTGAGAAGGGGTTTTTCATCTTAAAAGTACGCTGGTCATTATGTTAGGTGGATGAAGTCTATAGTTAGGTAACCACTTCAAAATTACAACCCTACTATCCGCCATTAATTTACCGTCTGTCAACTGAAACGTAGGATCAGGCAGATACATGCATTGGTCCAAGTTGCCATGCCTCGTTAGCACAACAAGATCAACACAGAATTCATAGAAGTAATTAATTTATCGGTGGTAGTGTATATAAAAGAAAGGTTGTATAAAAGGATATAGTATAGGATGAAAGATAGATTTGAAGCAGTCTTAATCCCACAGTTTAAGAGAAGATAAAGAGTGTATACACTTACGCCATTGTGATCGATTCTGAGCCATGTCACCTAGAGTCTCTAACCATTGGTTACGATAGTCACGTGAACGCCAATCAAGTAGTCTGTATCTATCATCATGGCTCGGACTAGAAGTTGGTGACTTCAAGCTCTGATGCCACGTTTCGGTTTGCCCGCCCCTAACTCTCTTCCAACTATCCTCAAGACTAGTCAGCATTGTGCGTCATGGTAACATGATCACAAATATTCACAAAATCAAATTCCTTTTTAATATAGTTGTATATTCTTTTGACAATTCTGTTGAATCAGTCTTTATCTCATTCCTTAATGTCTTGTCAACTAATTTGATGGATAGAAACATTGATCAACACTCAACAGTTTTCATCCATCTTATGTCATTTTCATTCTATCCATATGGTTAAAGAAAGATGAAGTTATTATTGTCTCTCTCTCTTTTAATGTTTCTGTGTTCAGTACGGGTTTTGTGGAGATTTCAGTATTTTTCAAAGTTGAAACCATGGGTCAATTGAAGCTAGACCACCATGGAAAACCTGGAACCACTGCTTTAAGGTCGTTTCGTCCTATTATGGGACTCCTCAGTGACAGTGAGCATCCACGATCCCGCACTGGCGATGTTCATTGATATATTAAATAGACAAGTTATAATAAATAATTGATTAGATTAGTTGTCTGTAATAGATGTTAGAAAACGAAAAGTACACTGATCTAATTCTTTCAGAATATCACAATTGATTAATCACGGGGTGATGATCAATGTCATGCATGTCAAGTTCGTCTTAGTGCTGATCGAATACTATCGATCAGAATATTTCAATCTACAGAGTTGTCTAATCCTTAATATTGATCTAATTCTAAGGATCATATCTAAATATGAACCAACATAAGCCTCTATTACTTTACATGGCAGGTTATTATGTTTTGTATTAGGTGACTGAATTCAGTCATTTGGAAACAGTGAATCTAAGTTTCATGCTATTCGACATTTATCTATAAAGTAGTATTTGAGATATCAGAAGGGCTTTTGTGGATATTATAGTAATTTCAATAGTTGAGATCATGAATCAATTGAAGCTAAACCACCGTGGAAAACATGGAAACACTGAACGGCCGGTTCGTCCTATTGTGGGACTTCTCAGCAGTGCACATCCACGATAACCCCCACCAGATTCCAACCCAGGACCTATCAATCTTGCGCACAAGCGCTTAACCTCTAGACCACTGGGCCGGCTGGCATTCAACGGTGTTAATATCTAACTTCAACCAATTCACGAAATTGAGCGACACATCCACCAATATCTTCAGTGAGTTACTATCTCACCACACACCTGATTGAACTCCACTGGTTACTGCTTCTCACTAGAACTCCAGGAAATACTTCTTGAAGCCAGTCATTAGTGAGCATATGTTAAATAATATCAGAAGGGGTTTTGTGGATATTAAATTAATTTCAATAGTTACGATCATAAGAATTAAAAGGAATAGAAGAGCTTATCAATTTTGTTGATGAAATGAAAAGTATTTCACTCCTATTTGGGTGAAGAGACAACTTCGGGCAACCAGTTTTTAAGTTTTTACTTATTTGAGGAAATTAGAAATCCAACGGTACCTAATTATTTAAACTATGATGGAAAAAATGTGTACCTACAGTTTCGTCGTCTGGTGATAACAGCACTCGCAGTCTAAAGTGAGTTACCTCTAAACTTATAAAGTAATAACAACAAGTTAAACTACTATCGAAATCTAAGTTTATGGCAAGGATGTTCAAATTTTCAATCTACTGCGTTGCTTTTACATGTGAAACGTACACACTATGCAACACCTAACGAAAATATGATGATTTTTCACTTTATATTAAATGGAATCGGTTGTAAATAAACCAACTTCACTATATGGTAACTTATCAAACGTTTAGATCGGTAAAATTTCAATAACGATTAGGATCAATGAAATATTCTAACGGATAGAAATTAGTTAAATATAATTGATAGAAGCTTTGGAGGATGTAAAAACCTTTACATGTCTGGGTAGCATCATCGAAGAACACGGTGGATCTGATGTAGATGTGAAGATGCAAGAACAGCATATTTACAACTGAAGAACATCTGAAACTCAAAACAATTGTCAACCAACATCGACATAGGAATTTTAAATAAAATTGTCAAAACAGTTCTACTGTATGGGGCGGAGAGGTGGAGAACTACTACAACCATCATCCAGAAGATACAGGTGTTTATTAACAGTTGTATACACAAAATACTTTGGATCCTTTGGTCAGACACTATCAGCAACAAGCTACTGTGGGAGATGACAAACCAGATTCCAGTGAAGGAAGAAATCAGGAAGAAGCGCTCGAATAGGATGGGACACACTTTGAGGAAATCACCCAACTGCATCAAAAGACAAGCCTTCACATGGAATCATGAAGGCCAAAGGAGAAGAGGAAGACCAAAGGACACATTACTTTGAGAAATGTAGACAGACATGAGAAGAATGAACAAAAGTTGAATAGAATAAGAAAGGAAGGGTGAGGACTGAGTGAGTTGGAGAATGCTGGTCGGCCGCCTATGCTCAATTGGAGTAACAGGCGTAAGCAAGTAAGTAATTTGGATCTAGACAAAACTGATATTAATTTATTTGCTTATTTGGATATTTATAATCTTTATTACAACATACAATTACTAACAACGTATCTGTTTTATCTTCATTTATCCAAGATCTTAGCGGTTTATGTGATTGGGATCAAAATGAAAGTACATTTTCTTTTCGACTTGGAATGTGGTTTCAAGAGTTGTTACGTCAAAAAGTAATTACTAGTTTATATTTTTTCAATTTTCATAATCTTATTTTAATAATATTATCAGAAGGGGTTTTATAGAGATTTAATATTTTCATAGTTGCAAGCATGGGTCAATTGAAGCTAGACTACTATGGAAAACCTGGAAGCACTGGACGGCCGTTTCCTCCTATTGTGGGGCTCCTCATTGGCAGTGCGCATCCACGATCCCACCTCACAAGATTCGATTTATGATTCATGATCTCAACTATTAAAATTGCTATAATATTCACAAAACCACTTCTGATATTTTTTACAAGTTGATCACCCATTTATGCGTTATCGTCTTACAATTACCCTCAAAAATTAAGTAAAATCGTTATAGCTACTCATAAATTATAAGTAGGATATTAAATGTTTAAAAAATTGTGTAGAATTGGTAAACTTTCGATCAATATTGAAAATTTAAATACATCCAATTTTTACAGTGCAGCAAAAGCTTTGGAAACTTAACATCACATTGTCGTTGATGTTTAGTATATTTTCTTTTTTGAAAGCTTATTTGGTTAGGTGTTTCCACAGAGTTATTACTTTGTTGTAACAAATGTATGTTAACTGCACAGGTAGATTGGCTAAAACTTCACTTACAGGACTGATCCCATACTGGTTTCTTGAATGAAACCAGAAGAAGAATGAAACATTACTGAATTGTTTAGGCAAAACCAGAGAGACAAATCATCAGCTTAGGACAATGCCTCTCAATGGTATAAATAACTCTTAAATAAACAGAACCGCTACCTGTTGTATCAGCCTGTTCAGTGACCTGCGATTTAAGTTTCATTTTGTCGTCAGTACTCTTAGGGTTCTTAAGAAAAAATTGCACTAGTGTAACGACTAACTTACTGTATTCTGGATATAGTACTCTTAATTCTAAATCTCTTTAGTATCAAGAAATTTTTTTATGATAAACTTTGTTTATCCGTGGATGAGCAATGCTGAGGAGTCCCACAATAGGACGAAACGACTGTCCAATGTTTCCAGGTTTTCTATGGTGGTCCAGCTTCATTTGAATCATGATTTTAACTATAAACTTTTGTTTAGTTTTCTTATAGAAACCAGAATTCAATTGTAGGTGACTCTAAGTCACTAATCTGTAATGTACCAAATGAGTTGACTGTAATTAAGAGAAATAAGAGGTTATTACATTGAAATTCATTCACTTAATCCATTACAAAGTTTAAAAAAAAATATTGTTGGGGGGAAAATTGGCCTGCAAATTTTAGGAGTGAATTTGAATATCAACTTCTGTTGTCATTGAGAAGGTTTCTTTATCATATTCTTCTTAATATTCACAAGTGAAATAGATAAGTTTTTAGAATAGGGGTTTTGTGAATATTATAGTAATTTTAATAGTTAAGATCATAAATCAGTTAAAGCTAGATCACCATGGAAAACCTGGAAGCACTGGACGTCTGTTTCTTTCTATTGTCGGACTACTATAATCAAAGATACAATATTCAGTAAAGTCATCTCTATTATGACTGTCATTACTCATTATGAACAATTCATTCATTTAAAATTTATTGTTCTCTCTTAAAACTGTCTTTAGAATTAAATCCACTTATTATTGTTTGTTTGAATATCCCCATTGATGTTTAGGATTAATATTGATCAGTCTCTTATTGGCATATGTGTATACTGTGCTTATTGCCTCGATATAGTCTTATATCACAAGCATTGTACGAGCGTTTCGTCCCATTTGGGACTCGTCAGATGGATGTACCTGCATCTCAGAGTTGATGTTGGCTCTGGGACTCAAACCCAGTACCTTTTGCTTCAAACGCCATCGTGTTATCGGCTCACCTACTGAGTCCTCATAGTCACTTGTTATTGTTTGTTTGAATCTTCCCATTGATGTTTAGAATTTAATGTTTCACTTCTAAAAAAGTATTATTTTTTTTATTTTTTTATTATACAGTGGTCTTCTACTTCATGGTCAAATGATGATGATAGTCTTCTACGTCCAATGGATGCTAAAGCAAGAAGTACTACAAGTAAATTAGTATCACAAAGTTCACCACATGAAAGAGTTAATGGAGCTGTAATTAGTTATTGGTTTTGTGAACTTGATCGAAGAAATAGAGGGTTAGTTCAATTTAATTTTTATCTTTGATATTTACTTTCAATGAATAGATACTTTCATTTAACTCAGCACATTCTTTCTTATCTATCAATGAAGAACTATGATACAGGATCTTTTTGTTCTTATTAAATTAGGAATGGTTCATATACATTTTCATTACACTATTTGCCCCCAAATGCCCTGGTACGACCGAGAGTGGGGAGAGTCAGCTCCCTCTCTCTCTCGAAATGCTCTCACATGACCACGCGGATATAGCCTCTATCAGGGAAATCCTACTCACTGCATTCTCACAGCATTACTGTTGTTTACGAAATTGAGAGAACGAAAAGCCAATGTCCGGCACTTTAACCGGATTGGTGGACACGGAAAGTTCACCTAGGAGAGTTGGAAAACCCTGATTCAAAACCAGTGGTGCATATGGGCTCCAGTATCCTGAGGGAACAAATGGCGTATGAATCAATCGTTGGTCACCGGATACCATTGGACTGCATCTCCTAATGTTGCACCACTACCTTGTGGGTTAGACCTTTAGGTCAAAGGCTCCGGGTGTGGAACCTCAAGAAAACCATCTGCTTCAGTTTTGGCATCTGGGCAGTATCACAGCCCTCACACAAATCAAATCTGATTTGTATGGCGCATATATATCTGGTGCTTCCTTGTACCAATATTTATGTGTTTAAATAATAAATGGGGAAACATTTGTTTAACACTCGTTTGTATTCATTGATTTTCCATTTCATATGAATCATTGATGAAAACAAACTTTCTGTAAGGTAGTTACAGACAGTAGATAGCATATTTCGATTCTAATTTTTGTGCTAGATGACAGTCGTTAGCAAGACTTTAGGGTGATCTTAATGAAACTAAATCTTCCAGTAGGGTTTAAGTCCACCCATTTAGTCTGATCGTTGAGTGATTCTGGCTTGTCTGGTTGATGAATTAAAATGGTATGTTGAGGATTGACTTAAGTTCATTATGTATGGTACTAGACAAAAGTTTTATGAATGTTTGTATTCCTCAAAAAACCAAAAGACATGTAATTCTTAGAATAAAAGAATAACCTTTTTTCATTCAAACTTGAGTTGAGTTCATGAGTCAATTGAAGTTAGACCAACATGGAAAACCTGAAAGCACTGGACGGCCGTTTCGTCCTATTATGGGACTCCTCAGCAGTGCGCATCCACGATCCCTACTCGCGAGATTCGAACCCAGCACTTATCAGTTTCGCGCGCGAGCGCTCAATCTCTATACCACTGAGCCGGCATCCAATAGTGATAATGTCCAACTTCAACCAATCCATGAAATTGAGCAACCATCTACCAATGTCTTCAGTGAGTTACTATTTCAGAACAAACCGGGTTGAAATCCACTGGTTACTGCTTCTCACTAAAACTCCAGGAAATATCTCTTGAAGCCAGTCATTAGTGAGTATATGACGAGCATAGGACAAAACGGTCGTTCAATGTCTCCAGGTTTTCCATGGTGGTCTAGCTTCAATTGACTCATTATTTCAACTACAAAAATACTAAAATCTCCATAAAATTATTAACCAATTTCTCAAACTGATCAATAGTAGCTACGACATTATGTAGATGAAGACATTGATTATAGTTATAAACTAAACTACAGCAAAATATGGTGGGTGGGTGAGCTAGATGATAAACATTTAGAAGAGTTTCTTCTAGTTTTTTTGTGTTATAATAGACCATAGCAACTCACGTACGATTGAGATTGTTCACATCTAATTTAGTTAAACCCTTTTGTTAACTTATTTAACGGACAAAGTCATTCGTACAATAACAACCTATCCCCATACTATTGTATCTTTATTATTGTTGTTGCACTTGTATGTATATGTATACTTGAGCATTTGCTTATTTTCTACGCATATATTCATTCTGCTAGCCTTACTATTAGTCGCTTAATTGGCTCGATGATTCATTCATTTCCATATCTATATGTATATACAGTCTTGATCTTGTTCACTAACTCGTTGACACGATCACTCGCTCGTTCGCTAATCTGACTCGCAAGCTCACTCGCTTGCTTTACAGCACTATTCTTTTATGCTTTCTTAACGTGCCTGTAATTTTGGATATCTGTGTGTAGTTCAATAATAAGCACAATCAACACTTCGTATTCTCACCTTCTGATTGTATACACTGTTAGGGTGTTATCGAATAACGGTTATCAGGATGAATAAACTATACGAAGTTTAAGGATAATATCAAATACTGACCATCACAACACTATTGACTATCTAGATTAGTAATATTGACGAAATATAATTCACCTGTTCAATGTGAAATCGTTTAATTATCTGACCTTAGTTATATGAAAATTATCTATCTATGTGTTGTAAATTACTTGACCTGAAATAAGGAACAGATTGTGAAAGATAAATACTAACAGAAAAGAGGAGTATTGTAGAGATTGTAATAATTTTAGTAATTGAATTCATGAATCGATTAAAAGTAGATCATCATTGAAAACCTGAAAGCACTGGACGCTTGTTTCGTCCCAGACTGGAATTCGTCAATGGTGTGAATTCACGATCTGAAGTACAGGATTCGGATCTAAGACCTTCAGTCTTGCATCGTTCAATGCTTACAGGCTTACCATGGTAGTCTACTTATTTATTTTTGTTTAAATACATAAAGATTGATACAAAGGGGCATCAGATATATATGCGTCACACAAATCTCATTTGATTTGTATGAGGGCTGTGATACTGCCCAGGTGCCCAAACTGAAACAAGTGGTTTTCTTAGGGGACCAAATCCAGAACCTTTGACCTAAAGGTCTGATCCACAAGGCAGTGGAGCATGGTGAGGAAATGCAGTCCCATGGTAGCCAGTGATCAACGATTGATTCATACGCCATTTGTTCACTCAGGACCCTGTAGACCATATGCACCATTGGTTTGGAATCAGGGTTTTCCAACTCGTCCTGGTGGACTTTCCATGTCCACCAACCCAGTTAAAGCGCCGGACATTGGCTTTTCGTTCTCTCAATTTCGTAAACAACAGCAATTACACGAGAAGGTAGTGAGTAGGACTTCCCTGACAGAGGCTATATACGTATGGCCATATGAGAGCATTTCGAGAGGAAGGGTTGCACCTCCCCACTCTTGGCCATACTAAGGCATTTGGGGGTGGCTTTAATTAAGCTTTAATGAACTCATAAGTTCAACTGCTAAAAATAAATACAATAGATTTTATTTAATTTATTTCAGATGATTTTTTATATAATATGGACTAGTTATTAATCCATACTTTCCCTTGAAAGAAATAGCCTCAATGTTGAAAAATGATTATTGGTGGGAGATTTAAATGTTTTGCGCCTACTAATCATCTCGAAGATGTTACTTCGCATACTTTATTATTCGTCGAATTCTATTGCTATTCGAAATTTTTCTCTGTTTTCCTTCCTCTTCTCATTGTTTCCATCTTCTACTGGTAAGCATTCCAATTACTGATGCATACTACTTATGTCTCCTCATAAGTAGCATAGCCCACAGTACTACTATGAAACAAGTCTACAAAGTTTAAAATCATTATATTAAAATCTATCCAGTTAGAAAATGTATATACGGTTGTCTGGCTCAATATATCAATGGATAACTTCTTGACGTTTGAAGATAACGGCAATGGGTTCAAGTATTTTTAAATATCAATACAGAGACTCAGGTACCTTCAACGGACAAGTTCCATGTGTTCTGAAGTCCGTTACTAATGCTTATCCAATTTTATCAAAAATAAGACAAATCTAATACTTTATTTACTTACTTTTACTTACGCCTGTTACTACAAATGGAGCATAGGCCGCCGACTAGCTTTCTCCAACACACTCTCTCCTGGGCCTTCCTTTCTAGTCTTATCCAGTTTTTGTTCATTCTTCTCATGTCTGTCTCCATTTCTCGGAGTAATGTATTCTTTGGTCTTCCTCTTTTCCTTTGACATTCAGGATTCGATGTGAGGACTTGTCTTGTTACGCAATTGAGTGATTTCCTCAATGTGTGCCCAATCCACATCCAGCGCTTCTTCCTGATTTCTTCCTCCACTGGAATCTGGTTTGTTCTCTCCCACAGTAGGTTGTTATTGATAGTGTCTGACAAACGAATCCGAAGTGTCTTGCGTAGACAACTGTTAATAAACACTTGTATCTTTTGAATAATTACTTTCGTAGTTCCCTACGTCTCCGCCCCATACAGTATAACTGTCTTGACATTTGTAATCTAATACTAGATATTTGAAAAAATATTTCAATGATGAGCTGACATTAGTTAGAGAGAGATGGAACAAATGAAAACCACATTGTAATTGTTGTATGTAGAGATCACTTAATAACATACACTATAGTGAACAAGAACACGTGTGGAGATAATCGAGTGTATTGGACACGAAAATTACAGACTATCTCACTAAATTCTGATAACCATACAGTAAACAGTTAATCTGCAAACTATCAATCATTTGTCTCAATCCTGACTGTTCCTTCTGCAAATATCAATCCATCTTCTCTTATTTTTATTGTTCATGCATTTTCATACCGATTGCGCTTCGTTCCTGTTCTTTCTTTATCGATCTTCTGCCAAAATGCATTCTATGTCTAACCATCACCATATACTACTTATGAGAATATAAGTAAACGCATATGACAACACTTATTACCTCAGAGTAACTTAACACCAAGACATTAGATAAGAACACGAAATAGGACGAAACGCGCGTCCTGAATTCCACTGCTAACCACTCACCATCTTCTCCATCTTCTATTAAGTTAGCTTAGGCATATTTAAAAACTAAATATGGATAATCATCCGTAAAAATTTTTTATACATGTTTACTCTAATGGTATGTTGCTCAGTCAGTCAGTCAGCGACAACGTAGGATCAGGCACATATATGCATCGGTCCAAGTTGCCATACCTCGTTAGCATAACAAGATGAACACTGGATTCATAGAAATAATTAATTTAGCGGTGGTAGTGTATATAAAAGA